CTCGTTTTATGGAGGAGGAGGAAGTAGAGGTGGATACGGTGGCAGCGGACGATACCATCCTTATGGAAGGTAGAAAGTTCCACAAAAGCTTTCAATCTTGTTCTTCTTATTCTGGCATTCTTAGTTCATGTATTGTATTCTGAGAGAGAGGAAGCTTTTAGTGTTTGATTCCCTGAGTAGTTTTTAAACACATTTTAGAGATAATCTTCTTGGCGTTACTCTGCCATATTATTTTTTTGCTTAGAACACTTATGGCAACTAGACTTAGCTTGTATCATCCATCACTTCTGAGTTTTGACTTAATCCTTATTAGACTCTCCAGGATTGTACACTGTATTTTTTCTCGAGTAAAACCTCTGTTTCTGTCCAAAGGTTAGTGTCTTCTTCTCTTCTCTTCCCTTGAGTGAGAACCACAAATAGACCCCAAAAAAATCTGATGGTCAATCATCTGACTATTTCCATTCTCGAAATTCAGAGAAAATAATAAGTGGGTTCTAAATTTCTGGGGAAAATTTGCAAGCCGGTTTTTTCTTCTTAAAATTTCTTGGAAAATTCTGATATTTGTAGCATTTTCTGGTTCTGCTGGGTTTGATAATCCATGGCAACACTTGCATCAAATCTTGTCTGTGTCGGAAAAGTAACAATTTTTTTTTGGAGCTAATTTCATCACAACTCCTTTTGTTCTTGTCTTTTGTGATTTTTTTCTCCTCCCAAAAGATGGTTAAAAGGAATTAATGTTTGATTTTGCAGGTAGAGAGGTTGGAGATAAATTGCAAAAAGAAAGAGAGAGGAAGAGATCAAAGCAATTATCCTTATAAAGTCATTGAAATTACACCTCCTCCTAAATCTCTTGGTGTTCGTTGCCTTCCTCATGTGAGTTTTCAAATCTTCTTCTCTTTCTGATTGTTACCTCAACAAAATTGCATAAGAAAAATAGAAACATTCGTTAATTATCAAACCATAGAGACGAACAAAACATTACGTTGCATCTCCAATTTATTTTTGAAATGTTATTATATTTGCAGAATCTTCAGTGTGGAGAGAATGTGATGATAGAAGGACAAACGTACACAATCTCGGCGGTAACTCATCGGTATCAGCTCCGGAAAGGTAAGTACGAGCCGAGGGAGAGGCGACTCGATGTTCTCTCTGCCGCGAGATACGTTTTAAACCTTTACTTGGATAACTTGCTCCAAAATTCTTGACCTTTTGTGTTTCTTTTGTTTAATCAAAACAGTAATGTAATAATCCTTAATATGGATCATTGACATTATACCATGTTTTTCTTGACATGGTAATTAGAATTCATAGATTATAGACTTTAAAACAGATGAACTTACGAAACGGAGGAATTTACGGAAAAGATAAGGCCTTTTTGGTGATTTCATTGTGAACTTGAAACTCAATGGTTTTGATCCATCTGAACATTCCTTTGAGTGCCTCTCTCCCTTCTCTAAAGACTCCTCTCTCCCTTGTCTAAAGACTCTTAACATTGTTCTCCTGAAGAAATCAAACTATGAATCGTTTTATAGGCTTTATCAAAATGTCCTCTTCTTATTGACCTCATGATGGAACAAAGAAAAAGCACTGCTTTGTCAGAGCTTCATATCGCAGTTCCTTCATTGCAGAGATTGACAATTAAAACACTAGTTGAGAGTGACAATGGCTTAAGATTTTCTATTTACGACAAGTATATTCCAAAGGTTGAGATAAGTGCTCCTTCTTTGAAACATTCTAACTGGCGGATGCGTCGGTTGGATTGTTGCGAGCCCCCGTGCTCTGTTCCAGAATGTGTGATGTCCAGTCTTGAAACACTAGAGTGGAAAGAATATTTAGGGAGAGAAATAGATAAGGAGGTTGCCGACTAGCTTACATACAAGAGGAACCCTCGAAACCTTGATACTACGTAGACTAATTCTCGTGGATGTTCCGCATTTCGGTTTCTTTGCCATCCCTCAAAACTCTTGGCCTTTTATCCGTCAAGTTCTCAAGTGACGAATCTATTCAAAGGCTTTTACGCATTTGTCCGGTTCTCCAAGAGTTTGGTTGTTAGACGATCCACTTATGTCAGTGTGAAGATATTCACTATCAATGTGCCTACTTTGAGGAGTTTATCTATCGACTAATAAACCAAATTGTTTGTTGTCATTACATTAAATAGTAACGCTTTTTGTGATTTGCTTGAATTGCAGATTCCATGTCATATATACACTTTCTTTTTCAATAAACCAGTGTCTTAAGACACAACATGTTACTGGACTCAATAATGTTCAACATTTTGTAATCTTTCAGTTTCCTTTTATGTTTTTGTGAAAAAAACAGAGAAGAAGTAGACTTGCAAATAAATAACTAAAATAATAGCTCCATGCATATATTTCATTCAAACAAGAGTTGAAACTCTAGGCATAGCCTTTAGCTCTTTTTCCATCATCTTTTTCTCTTCAAGCAGGAATGTTATAAAGATGATTCTCGCTATCTTTAAACACTTTGAGTTTGCAAGGATGTATCTTATGAGTTGTTTATCTCCTTCACTTCCACTGTATTCACTCCACTCAAAGATCTGTAGACGGTACGACAAGCATTTAGGAACATAACTCGGTTGGCTCCATGACAACGAGAGACTTCCGGGTAGATATGGCCATGCCCGGGGCTGGAACCAAAAACATCAAATCTTATAATTTGAATAAAATAATCAGTTTGTATGCAAGAAGGATACTTACAGAAATGAATCTTAGGAAGCATAGTTCGGGAGAGTTGTGGAGAATTAGTGCAAGTAGATCCAACAAGTGATGGCCAAATATTCTTAGTGTAAGCTTTAGAAGCCGAGAGAACGTAATGCCAGTAAAATTCACAGCCTGAAATGACAAAAAATCAACTAACAAGATGAAGCAAATGCGAACACACTAATTACCACGAAACAAAGATCGAAAATCAATACCATCGGATCACTCAAAGATAGAGTCAGGCTCGTGAGCAAGGAACAAGGTCTGAGAATCTTGTCATGAGCATAACAAAGAAGGTAGATATGTGGCTTAGCAGCAGGAGATATTGTCATCGTGAGAGGGTTTTTCCACCAATCAGAAAAGCGGATTTCAAAAATCGATCCAGCAGGAACAGAGCAACTTGATAAAAGCCTAACCAAAGATTTTTCGTCTTTATGTATCACAAAGAAAAGGCGCAACATTTTGAGAGACGGCATGCAAGCCGAGGGAGGAACATCCACGAAAATGTTTCTATAGAGAGTCAGTTCAACAAGTTGTGCAAATGTAAAGGCTCTTAGGCAAGCTGGTTGGCTCTGTGGTCGTCCAGGGATGCTCGACATATAGCTTGCGCACAAAGCGATCAACTGCGTTCGAAACACATTTCTCAACATGTATATCAATAGGACGGTTTGTACCAAGACAGATGAACAAAGTGTCTAATATAGGTGCGTTGTGAAGTTCCAGTGACTTGTCAAGAAATCTAGAAAGCCCATCGCAGTCATCATCAGTGTCTTCGTACTCCAGTTTAGGCACCATCGTCCATATAAAACGCCATCGTTTTGACAAAATCATGGTGGAAACTGCATCTTTTGTAGAGACAAACAACAGAATATTGATTAGCAAATCACTAGGCAACGCACTGATCATGTCTCTAGAGACAACAGTCTCTTCCATTCTTTGACGAAACCTTAAGAACCAGAATTAGCAGTACGAAACCCTAAGAACGTTCACGTGTTATTTCTCGTTGCTGTGAGAATAACCATGGTTTCACAAAAGTAAGCCCTAATTTATTCTAACCCTAAAAGTCTACGAAATAATACTCTCCGTTTGTTTATAGTACGTGATGCTTTAGAGAATTTTCTTTTTTTCTAAAGTAAGCGATGTTTTCAAGTTTATATGCAAAATTAATTTTGATTTTGTTGTTTTCAACGGTTTGAATTTTGCATATTGTTTTTCTATTGGTGAATTATGTTTAGGTAGATAATAATCGATGTTTTAGTTTAGATAACAATAAACTTTAATCGTCATCTAATTACAAATACATGGAGTATACATTTTACCTACATTAAAACGATTCCTTTATGGACTACAATCTTATATAATATTTTAATGTTTTTATAAACCCAAATCATGAAAAGTTATGAGAGGATGCCATGTGTCACTTATTCCTTTGACATTTTTGTTTTGATTTATTTATTGAAAAAAAATCGATGTGTTTTAATAACTTTAACAATGTTATAAACCCATTATG